GCTGCCCACAGAACAGAACTGTGACATATTTTCTTCAGGATTTTGCTCTCACACATGGAGCTCATGTTTGCTCCTCCTAACTAAGGAGGTATTCTTCTGTTTATTTTGAAAAAAACTGAAATATAAAATGTGCTATTACCAGCAGTGACAGCGTGGGGCTGGTATTGTTTTCCCCTTGTGAGTTTGTGTTTCATCACGGCTAAATGTGGCCCAGGAGACAACTACTGTAGCGGGAACTACCACTGAAGTGGTTTTGAGTACTTTGCCAGGAGTTTATATCAGTCAGTCTGTCAGTGGACAGACTGAAGATGGGTGTGGTACGACCCATGAGTATTGAGTACACATGTAATAATGAAGTAATGACTACTGAGTACTCATGGGTCCGAGCATCAACATTTTGACGGGTGTCATGGCTGGTGTGACCCCAACGCAAGATGGTCTCTAGTTTCTTAGATGAGAATCATACTGTTGCTGCATGTTTCCAAGTGCCATCCCTCTTCTGCCTTTAATTAACCAAAAAGCTCTGTGCATTGTATGTGTTTCCTGTCACCTAAAAAAAGCACGCACCATGACAGCACAATATAAGCTGAAATAATGAAGCTAATTGACACAGGATATGGTCCCACTAGATAGTAATAGATATGGTCATTAGTAATAATGCAGGTCCTCTTGAAAGGCCCTTGTCATTTCAATTGAAAATGCAATATAGTGGTGAACAGTCACAAACAAATCTGCAATTAATCAAATGACCACAAACCATACACACAGTGAACCTGGGACTTTTGAGCCCCTGAGGGTCAGGGGCAGCTGCCTGCTGCCGTGCTCAAGGTGATAAGTGATGACCACACAGCAGCAAAAAGGCAAGTATTTGCCAAGTATGGCTTTATTATGCATGCCTTTATCTATGTCCCAATATCCCTATATCCACTGTGTGAATAAAAACGTATAGAATGGTCGAGCCTACACCGTGAAAAGCAGCAATAAATGTGATAGGGTGTCCACATGCCTCAGTCTCCTCGCACATCTTATCTCTGGTATTCTCAAAAGGACGATGAAAGCCTATTTAGCTATAGGCTATAGGCCCTATAAGCCAATATTGCATTGCTCTAACCTTCTCAGGTCCTTGTAAATGTATGGTAGACTGAACAGCAACCTGCGAGCTGGCAGGCAGCTTCCTGGAAAAACTAAGACCTACTTATTAATTATTTGCCCACTTCAAGCTCAGGCTATGCAGTCAAACTTTCCTCAAACCCACAGGATGTGACTCAGGAGTTAGAGCAGGTTGCCTGTTAATCGGAAGTTTGGCGGTTCAATCCCCGGCTCCTCCAGGTTGCATGTTGAAGTATCCTTGATGTGTGGATGTTAGTTTCTGTTTGAGCACTTAGGCTCAGTGTGTGAATGGTGACTAGAAGGTGCTATACAAATATGGAGTATTTACATTTGAAATGTATGTTTCCAGACAGTAAATTATGTCAGGCTATATTTTGGAGAAATGTACATTATCATCCTGTGGGTTTGAATATTTCATTCAATCTAAACATACTGTTTGACAAAAAAAAAAAAAACTTAACTCAAGGTCTGCTTACTAATTTTTAATAATAATATAATAATAATAATCCTTATTTGTAGAGCACTTTTCAAAAACAAGTTACAAAGTGCTTTAACAAGTGTAAAGAATAATACAAAAAAGATAAGAGCATGAAAATTTAATATAAAATTAGTAAAATACAATAAAATAAAAGGGATAAAATAAAGTCAAATAAGATCGGGAAAGGCTCTCCTATAAAAGTATGTTTTAAGAAGGGACTTAAAAGAGTTCACCGACTCAGCCGACCTGATTTCCTCGGGCAGGCTGTTCCAGAGCCTCGGGGCCCTGACAGCAAACGCTCTGTCCCCTTTAGTTTTCAGTCGAGACTCTGGAACAGACAACAGACCTCTGCCCGAGGATCTCAAGGTACGTGCTGGTGCGTATGGGACTAAAAGGTCAGAAATATAACAAGGCGAGAGGCCATGAAGAGCTTTAAAAGTGATCAATAGAATTTTAAAGTCAATTCTAAAACATACTGGGAGCCAGTGTAATGAAGCTAAAATAGGAGTAATGTGGTCATATTTCTTTGTTCTGGTTAAAAGCCTGGCAGCTGAGTTCTGGACAGTCTGGAGTCGATCAATAGATTTTTGGGTTAAACAGGTGAAAAGGCTGTTGCAATAATCCAGGCGTGATGAGATGAAGGCGTGTAAAATGGTCTCGGTGTCCTTGAAAGTTAACATAGATCGAATTTTAGCTATATTTCTAAGTTGATAAAAACATGATTGAACAAGCTTTGTGGTGTGCTGCTCGAAATTTAAATGACTATCAAACCAAACACCAAGGTTCTTTGCCACATGCTTAATGTGATTTACTAGGGAACCAGCAGATGGCAGTATTTGATTTGCCATCTGCTGAGACCCGATGACCAGGATTTCTGTTTTGTCTGAGTTCAGCTGGAGGAAATTATTTGACATCCATTTTTTAACTTCACAAAGGCAGTTGTTAAGTGAACTCAGCATTCCAGGGTCTGTGGATCTGATGGGCAAGTATATTTGTGTGTCATCAGCATAAATATGAAAAGAAATGCCATGTTTATGGATAATATGTCCAAGGGGAAGCAGATACAAGGAAAACAAAATGGGTCCTAAGACCGACCCCTGAGGCACACCATATTTAACTGGACAGAATGAAGAGACATAGTTGTTTACAGACACGCAAAACTTCCTATTTGACAGGTAGGATGAAAACCATTCTAGAGCAGTACCAGAGATCCCCACCCAGTGCCTCAGTCTGTCTAACATGATGTTGTGATCAATGGTGTCAAAAGCAGCGCTAAGGTCCAGGAGTACCAGGACTGAGCACATACCTTCATCAGCAGACATTAAAAGGTCATTGGTGACTTTAAGCAGGGCAGTCTCAGTGCTGTGGTACTTCCTAAAACCAGACTGAAACTTTTCAAATAATTTGTTATTTTCCAGCACAGTGAGCAGCTGTTTGGACACAATTCTTTCTAGAATCTTTGCAATAAAAGGCAGTTTTGAAATTGGTCTAAAATTATGTGGGAGGGAGGGATCTAAACCAGGTTTCTTTAAAAGTGGGTTCACGCAAGCCGTTTTAAAATAATCAGGGACACAACCAGTAGATAGGGAGCTGTTGAAAACAGAGATCAAATGGGGCCCAACAGAATCTATTACTTTCAGTAAAAATTTTGTAGGTATTACATCAAGTGGGCCGGAGGACACTCTCATTTGTGATACTGTTTTTAAAAGCTCAGACAAGTCGATGGGATAAAACTGGTTAAAACTCTGTTGTTGCTGGTGAGGGACCTCTGAGTAAGAGTCAGTTTACTTGAGCTTTCAACTGTATCTCATGGTCTTCCTCAGCGGATGGAGTCTGATCTGACTCTAAGATGTCTCTGCGGCGGACAGTGACTTTTGGTTGTTGTTGGTGAATTTCCTGGGTCAAGAGCGGACTTGCACATCCAATCACATACAGGATCTTAAAAAGAACATATATACTATATATACAAACTATTTTTAGAGGTGTTGATTCTTATGTTGTACAGAGAGGTATTTCTGTTATTTAGCCTATCCTTGTTCATATAATGGGGCGGGCAAAATAAAACACTTGGCAGTGTGATGCAATATGATTCAACAGCAGCACAAACATATATGATGCAGTATACTGTAGATAAGATATTATATATATATATATATATATATATATATATATATATATATATATGTGTGTGTGTGTGTGTGTGTGTGTGTAATAAATGAACTTAAACAACAACTGTAAAGTTGCATTACTTGATTGTTTTGGCCACAACATCAGATCTATTATCACCTTATAAAGTTAATATGGCTAACATGTTAGCAAAGAACTTATTTAGATGTACAGTAAACAAAGTTGCAGGCCATTAAACCAAAACAATGAGCCAAAGGACCCTAAAAAAGCTCCCCAGAGCTGAGGGCACCGCAGAGGATAAATTCTGTACGTTGAGAGATGGAGATCCATCTTTTCACCAAATCATATTTCAAACACATTGTACAGAGTTCATTTGATTCAATTATTTGAGCCCATCAACAGAAAACCAATCAGTCACTCAGCTACTGTTGTTGTCTTCTGAGATTCTGACAAACTCAGTCACCAGCCAGCCAGTCAGCCTGTGAGTGAGCGAAGCAGACAGAGCAGCTGAGGTTGACCAGCAGGCATCTCTGGCCTGCAGCCAGGACACATGTGTCTGAAACCAGCTCTTCCTCATTACCACAACAGCACAATACTAAGATTCAAATGTATCGTTATCTCCAGCAGCATTTTCATATTATCCCTGTGATACTCCTGTAAGAACTTGTATCGTGCCTGAGCTCAGTAGAAGGTTATACTAAACTGAAATTGTAAGAATGTAATTTATTTCTGATATTTTCTCAGTATCTGGATAGTTTGATTTAGAACACTGAAGGGAAATGAAGGGACCACAATATGTGAAAATGAGATACCTCACACTTCTTCACCAGTCAGCGTTTCCAGCCTTGGTGTCTCTCTATGAAAAATGCATGAAGCTCTACCAGCTACAGTAAGAAGTGCCACTTGCAGCTGTTGCAGCTTCACACAGCAAGTGAAGTCCAGCCAGTGATGGAAATGTCTCTGTGTTACTGAGTCCAGCAGCAGCCTACTCACTAAGAAAAAATATGAATAACTCTGGACTGAAGAACCGGTTCTAAACTTGCCCAAATCAATCAATTACAAATGATCGCGACGAGGTTTCCTTCACTCTAAAGGAATCCCTATTGAGCAGGAACCCGCTGAAATGTCACCTCAGTTCTAAATATCAACACTGACTGACAACAAAACTCTCCTTAATTGGTTCGTAGAGGCAAAAATACATACACACAAGCTCTGCTGTGGAAATCTCAACTTCAACCAGCAGTAATTTACTTGTTTAAATGAAATAAAGACGCGTGTTTCTTACCGAATCTCTCCGGTCTGACCGCCTGCATCAAACTGGTGGCCAGCTTCCTCCCCACCTCTCTCTCTCTCTCTGTCGTTGACACGCACAGGCGCGTGCTGTCTCTCTCTTCCTTAACTCTCGTGTGTCAGCATGGAAGATGTAACCTATAGCCCTCTATGTCTTCTGACGCATTCGTGTCTTATAGATAATAAATATTTGCACACCTGCAAGAATGTAGGATTGCAGACACACTGTGTTGCAGGCAGCGTGCATGATTTTAGAAATGCCAAGTCCATGTCCCCCCAAAGCAAATACCCACCTAAAGAAATGTTGTATTATCAATTATTTAGATTTTGTTCATTTTCTATTTATTGAGCTGATTATTGTTACTATTTCTGAGCCGATTTCTCTGGCCACCTGGGTGCAGCACACTGAGCTGTAAACAACAGGCTGTTTGGTGCTGGGCATGGATTAAATAATGAATTTATCAGTTGTTGTTTTTTTTAACAGTTGCCTGTGGCCAGTGGGGCTGATGAGAGCACTGAGACAGAAACAAAGCAGTAAGGTCCAGACAACCAAACCTTTTGCTTAAACAGGTTAATGCTCCAGAGAGCTTACTGAGGGGAACCACAGGGCTGGGTGATAATTCTCTGTAGGGTTGTCTCCAAGTTCATAATATTGAGTGATTGATTAGTGCAGTACACATAAAACACCCACCAAGAGTAGGTGCACAGACTAATATAATCATTCTTACATGATATACATACATACTCAAAGACATGACCTTTTTTGTTTAAACTGTTTTCATTGATTCAACTGCTGCTGTTGAATTGTACTGCATTACACTCATAGATATTTCCAACATTTTGCCCCATTTACATCAGTGAGAGTAAACATATCTTAATAGAACCACCTATGTATGTAAAGTGCATATTTAGTTCAGCATGGTATGGCCTGACTGTAGAATGTTTAGATTTGCTGTTTGATACCAGATTCAATCTCTTTCTATGGGAAAACACAGTTGGCCAATATAGCTGAGTCCAGCTCTCATGAGTAGGAGATAATGTGAGGGAGCTCCAATGATTCAGATTACCACATATCAGTTTCCTATTGCAACTTTCCCCATCACAGAGAGTCTTACGTCAGTTTCTTGTCTCTACCCCACACACACACCTCTCACATGTGCTGTGTGCACTCATGCATCGCATGTCACACTGTCCTCCGGTGGAATATTTCACTACATTAACAATGACGTGAGGTCAGTGAAGAGCAACGAGCAACATATGAGATGCAGATTGTGATGCTCGTGGTGCCTTCAGGTGCTCTGGCAGATATTAGATGTTAACATTCAGCCCTGAGAATGAGGAACTCTCCTCTGAAACCTGAATTTCCAAGATGTGATGAACAGGATGTCACTTAGTGGATGGGAACAAGGTGAGGTGAGGGTCGGACGGCGGGGGAAACATGGGAGTGACACATTTTACTTCTGAGTTCTGCGCAACTTCAAAACAACAAACCCTCACATGCAGATGACAGAACAGGTGCATTTTAAAAGTACACTAATGAGCATTTTGACAATTTGGTTCCTCTGTTGGTAACTGAACCTTCTTGGTTGGGAAGAGGGTTAAAAGAGGGTTAATTTTTGGTCAAGGTTCAGTTAAGGTTTTGGTCATGGTTTCACTTTCCTGTAAAAAAAAAGAAAAAGAAAAAGAAAAAGCAGAATACGCAATCTGCTCCTTTTCATAAATATCAGGCAAAACTATTACATTTATTTGAATAGTTAGATATCAATTTTCAGTGATATCAGGTGGTTCTCAAGCATTTTCTGTCGTGACCCCCTTTCAATAGCCAAAACAGGTTCATGCCCACCCACTGCACGTAAACAGATCTTTAGCAATATTGGGGAGGCAACAAAAGGAGCCCAGTTTTACTAGACTGAAATAAAAGAAGTGATTCAGGTCAGCACGATAGCATCAGCAAACTGTTGTTTGTCTAAATTTTGTCATAAATGTATGGTCTATAAAATGTCAGAGCCTAGTAAAAATTGTCCAACACAATTTCCTGGAGCTCAGAGTGACATTAAAGACATTTTAATCAGTTATCAAAATAGCTGCAGACGAATTTTCTGAATTCTGAATAACTGATGAATGACCTCATCAATTAATCACCTGTTTCACCTCTAAAAAAATGATCAAAGATGATAGTACCAGTAAAGAGAATATTAAAGTAAAATTTGAACACGGAAACTCCATCTCAAAGAACATGTATTGCGTAATTTATGCGTATTATTCAAAAAAATTGAGTAATGCCGTGCTTTTTTTTTTCATTTCTGCAGATAATCCGCCCTTTCACAGCAGACACTTAGCAGGAAAAGTACAGGTGTAAATAATACAACTGAATTATTATTAACACCAACAGTTCTGCGAAAATGGCTTTAGTGGCCTGCAACTGTAGCATCTGAGCTCTGTAGTTGTCAGTTTGCACCTACGAAAAATACCGGTCTTAAAAGAAAGACACTGTTAATACACCAGCTGACACAATTAAGCAGGAGCACGTTTATGCATCTTTATTAGCAAAAAGCTTTTGGGTGTAATAACGTCAAACTCTGTTTCTACTGAATCACACTAGTAGCCTTTCAACAGCAGTCACATCACAGCAGAGCAGTCAGCAAGTGAAGTCATAAAGTGAACCACAGTAGCAGTTATTCCAATTACAGCAGGAAATGTCAGTGACGTCGGGCCCACTTCACCTTCTGCTTTCACTTCTCTCAGATGACACTGCAGCCATTCGGTGGAATTTGAATTCATCACACACACAAACACACATGTACACACACACACACACACACACACACACTTTGCAGAAAGCCAAGAACATGGTAATAATATAAGACACACACACGCACAAAGGTGTGTGATGGGGTTTGGGGGGGATAGTTTCTGGGAATCCAATATTTTTTTCTTTCGATGTCAGCAGACTCGAACTGATTGACAGACAGACACACACACAGTTTGGAATTAATAATGCAGAGATGCTTTAAGTGCAGACATCAACAAAGGCAACACACACACAGACCAACCCAACAACAGATAAACAGACAGGTTGGCGCACTACTGACAGCATCAGCCTACAGTGTTTCACATCATGTCACTTCATCTGCGAACACGATGTCACTACGATCGTTTTTAAAGCAGTATTGAAATAATCTACAAATGTTAAAGTTTTACAGTGGAATTATACAGCTTTAACAGTTGACAATTGATCTGAGTTTGTTTTGTTTTGGTATCAACAAACATTTTTAAGATACAGAAAAAGTATCCCAAATCTTCTAATATTTCAGCCCTTTATAAAATCTAAGGTCATGTACAAACGTGACGGGTAAAATAATTTAGCTTTGCATATTGACATGTGCTTTGTGTTCAAAAGCTGAGCGGAAAGGTTAGTGATCGTCCTTTAAAACTCCAGTGTTACATCTTCCTCCTCCTCTTCCTCCTCCCCACCACTCTAGTGCTTTACTGTCGGTCATACAGAAAGCACAGATTTGTATTTACAAACAGCAGTACAGGCAAAACAGTCAGTTGATCGGCATCATTATCATGAGATTCATTTTTTCCATCAATATCATCGTCTGTCTACGAGTGACATTTTCATTCATTTCAAGCCCCTCATCATCCTCCTCTTCTCCCTGTTCAAACTGCTTCAAAGAAAACACCGAATGTATGTAAATTCCCCCAACAGTCATCTACCAATGATAGCAATCAGTTGAGTATCTCAGGTTTTATTGTAGACGATGTAGAATATTCATGAGCAGGATTGATTTATGGCAATAAATGGTATTAGTTTCAACCAATGGTTTATTAAATGGAATTTATTCTCATTGTGCAAAGACGATGATAATGGAGTGATTTCTAGAGTGCTCTTAATAAACAAGTGTGTTTAATACCTCTGTGTGTAGTCATAATGTGACAGCATTCAATTCAGTGAGCTGTGCTGCTTACTAAAATATTACTCTGCCTGTCTGAGTGATGTGCAGGTTTAACAACACAGCAACTTACAATTTCTATTTGTCATTTCTGTGATTGTTGAAGTTCAAAGGGCAGTGTGAATGCAGCACAACGCTGCGGGCTGCTTTAGCAGTTCTGTTCTGGTCTGGTCTAGTCTAGTTATGCTAACAGTAGCTGGTAAATCTACTAGTGTGTGGCTAGTTTATGGGCACTAAAGAAAGAGGAAACTCCCTGCCCTAAAATTGTTACATTTTTCCTCACGGGTCCCCTTCAGCTCTGGCCACGGTATTTGTTGGTAGCAGTGTGGAGATGGTGCTATGTTTTGCGGCACTTTTCCAAATGTTCTGCCTATTTGACAGCCGGCAGGTTAAACTTACTACAAAGTTCTCGGATCATAATCTGAACTTCATCATTGTGAGAACACAAAAAGGTTTAAAGTTTTAACAAGCAGCCTGCTTTTGTTTCTGGTGTTTGATGTGTATTTGATGTTAGAGTCAAAGCTAAGCTGCAGTATACAGGCCACTGTTCACTAAGAATCCAAGGTTATCATGATGTGAAGTAATTTTACTACACTTAAGCACTGATAGTAGTTTTTCGGGAATGTTTGATGATTATGGTCATACAATTGTTTTTTCCATATTAATCATAGCATGAAAAAACTAATACCTAGTTGTGACTTCTATGTGAAAGTGAGATACACAAGATCAACATTAAAATGTCATCGTATTTACATAATGAGGTGATGTCTGGAAGTTAATAGACTATGTTACCCAGCATATGCTATGCTGATATGTGGTGCACCAAAGTAAGAGAGTCACCCGAAACATTCATTTGTCCTTATTACATATACATCTACCAAATAGTAATTACCTACCAGCACTTGGTACTTTGAGTTATCATTAAACTTCAAACTATTGCCAAAGCGCTAAATGATTACATGCAAACACTTAACGATCCAGATCACAGTGGATCTGGATTGAGCCTGAATTCCTCTCTCTCTGTGTGTTGTGCAACGCTTACAAATGTCTGGCTAACTTAGCATGCAGCAGTACTCCCTACCAAAACACAGTGGTTTACCCAGTGGTGTGAGTGTGTGTGGATGTGTGCGTGAATTAAGTCCAGCTCAATGGTTAGCAAAGCCACAACCAACCCCCACAACGACAATGCCTCTGTGTCTGTATATATCATTATATATACGTGTGTGTGT